GGTCTAGCCAGATGACCTGAACACCGTCCCTTACATTTCTTTGGCCTGCAGAAGCTTTTAGCATGAGCAATCTCAGACATAAAGAGCATCGGGAGTAACTTACCTATTTGTGTAGCCGCCATCCAACTTAAGCAAATGAAGAAAGCCAATACAGTGGGAGATTCCTGTACACCTCTTCTTAGTCACAGCCTCCGTCCCCTCCCCGGGTCACCAACATCAAATTTGGTGTTTATCCTTCCCATGCACTTGCTTCTTAACTCATGGTCTTTGCCCAGCTTTGATAGTCACCATTTCATTTGCTCTTCACAACAGCCCGTGGAAGAGCAGAGGAGGACGAATTGTTATCCACACTCTTTGTATGAAGGTGCTAACGCTCAGAGAGGGTAAGTGACTAGCCTGTGGTCACACAGCTGGAGCATCATTTAATAGCGAGGACATCGAGGCCTAGATATCTGGGTTCTGAATCCACTGCCCTCTCCACTGTGTCTTATTGCCTCGATGCCCTCCTCTCTGTGACTCCGAGGCCTTCTGCACTAGAAAACACACCTGCAGATGTGGCGGCCTTCGCCAGGTGAGCAGTGAAATCAGGCATTAGGCGGGTGCTCTAGCTCAGGGATTTTCAACTGTGCCACATCAATTTTTAAAACATGCGATATCTGGCTATTTAGTCAAGGGCACTGACCTCTTTTCCCTTAGATTGTCAAAATAATAATTAAAAAAACACAACAATAGCCAACACAATAGCTGTTCAGTATGCATGAATCAAAAGTATACCTATTTTTTTTAGATTGGCAGAAAATACATTTTTTTTGCTATGCTGCAGAATCTTAGTGATTAGTTTATATGTGCCATGAGGGGAAAAGGTTGAAAATTGCTGCTCGAGCTCATGAATTCATGAGGAGATGGTGGTAGGTTAACGAAACATCTGTAAAAGGCATGGCTCTGGCCGGAAGGGAGGACAAAGAGGAGTGCAGTGGGTGGAGTGGTTAGAACACCAGCTTGTCAGATGGGCCTGATTTCAAATCACACTTGACCAGTTCCTGGCTCTGTGCCTTAGGGCAAGCGATTTGGCCTCACTGTACCCCTGTTTTCTCATTTGAAAAATGAGAATGAGGACAATGTGGATGGAATGGACAAATTCCTAAAAAAACACAATCTCCCAAAACGGAACCAGGAAGAATCAGAAAACCGGAGTATGCCAATAACAACTGATGGAATAGAAGCAGTAATCAAAGAACTCCCAGCAAACAAAAGCCCGGGTCCGGACAGCTTCACTGAAAAATGAGGCTGAAAATCCAATTGGGTCACCATCAGGATCACCTGTGATCCCACAGGAAATGCTTCGCACATGCCTGGCCCAAAGTGCGCAAGAGACAGACCAACACGCCACCAGCACGACCACCAAATGGCTGTGGCAACTCCTCAGCGGGTCCCCCTGCTCCCTGCATCCTGCCCCGTCTCTGTCCACCCAGGCTGCTGAGCATGTGCAGGTGCAGAGAGATGGGTGCTCAGGCTGCCCCACCCCCAGTGAGGTGGTGCATGGGGTGCCACATGCAGGACAGCACCCACCTTCCAGGCCCGGCTGAGCTCCCGGGCACGTCCTCCAGAGACACCCCCCTTCCCCCATGCCCCTGCCTCCAGGCAGGAAGGGCCCCTGCAGAGGGACTCCCCCTCCCCGCTCACCTGAGCAGTCATCAGTCTTGCTGGTTTGGGAGGCAGCTGGGCACCGATGGGAGGTTGGCTGCTCCCCCAGGCAAAGCAGCAGGGCGATTCGCTCGAGAACCAGGCGCCGCAGCCAGGCAGGCACCGGCTGCTGCAGGTCTTGCTTGTGGACCAGCCGCACGATGAGGATCGTCTCAGCCAAGCTGATGACCAGCAGAGCCATGCACACGACAAAGTAGACACCTGTGCACCCCGGGGAGGGGGCGGGAGGGAGACACATAGGAGGTGGGAGGGCCCACGCCTGGCTTCCTTGGCCACAGCGAGCTCTTCCCCAGAAGCAGGCCTTACCAATGAGGGGAGTGCCGATGGCGGTGGCGGGCAGCGTGTCGGACACAATGATCAGGAAGACAGAGTAGCCCAGAAGGAGTGTGATCTTGAAGGAGACCCTCTCACCACTCTCTGGGGGCAGGTAAAAGCCCACAATGTCCATGACCATGAGGAAGATACTGGGCAGCAGCAGGCTGACCGCATAGAATAGGGGCCGCCGGCGGATGACCACCTGGGACCAGGAGAAGAGCTCTGGGGGAGGCCTGGGGCAGACAGGTCCTGTGCCCAGGAACCACCCCCATCCCAGCCCCCTTGCTTGGTAGAGCTTCCAACCTGCATTTCTCAGAAAAGGACACGGACAGACCCCACATTTTGCCTCTGGATCCAGGCTTGTGGCTGTTAGGGTAAGTGAGGGACAATTCAGCTGTTGCCCCATCTACCTCGTGGAAGTTCCAGGAGATGAGTGTGACCCTGCGGTGGGGCCGGGGCCACGGCGGTTCTCCCCCATGTCTCCCCAAGTCTGCCTGGGTGTGCCGGGCTAGTGGCTCTATTCATTATTTTAATCGCACCCGCTCCCTGTCCCACTCACGTAGAACTTCATTTCTGCATAACTGCTGCTGCTTTCCATGCTGAACTCCCGAAACTGGGTCAGCACCCCCAGAAGCTCCCACTCGCCCTGGTTCATGAAGACGCTCTTGTCGAACTTCACCTTTTCTGGCGGGCGCCAAAGGGAGATGTTGATGTCCTGGACTGGGAGAGAGGAAAGCAAGCCAGCGCTGGAGCCCACGCCAGCGGCATGCCAGAGCCCGCGACAGTGGGGTGCCGGGTGGCGCACCCACATGGCTCAGTTCGCTTCAGCTCTTCATCCCCAGCCTCAGTTTCCTCAGCTATACAGTGAGGTCACTGCACACTGTACCTTTCTGTACAGCGGGCCTGGAGCGAGGGGAAGGAAGGATGAAGTGAAACACACAGCAAAGTGCAAAGAACCAACAAACCATTTATTACAGAGCACCCCCCCCCCACCTTTCTAGGTTTCCTTGTTATAATTCCCTACTTAGGAAATAAACAAAAGTCAGTACTCTTCACCTCGGCCTGCAGAAAGCCGCCTGAACTGGAAGCAAGCAGAACCCCCGCTTACAGAATGGTTTAGCGCCTCTGCCTCTACTACAGAGACAGATGTGCATGGCACCAGGGGACAGGAGCGCCCACTGCAGTCAAGCAGCAGGAATGGCTGACGTGCCCGTGGATCAGGAGAATGCGGAACAAACTCTGATGCACCCAGACAGACCATGGGATAGTCGACGGCGGTCCAAATTGATGAGGGAGCTCTACATGCGCACTAACTTGGGAAAATGTCCCAGATCTGTGGTTGAGTAGAAAGAAGCAAGTAGCAGTAGCATAAATGATGTATATAGAATAATTCCCATGCACTTTCCATAGATGAGTACGTATGTGTACATAGGCAAAGGGTAGAGAAGGACCTGGAAGAGCATATCATATGAAGTTTATACTGCTGAAAGCTGTGAAGTCCTGGTGTGGGGAGTTGGTGAAGAGTTTGGGAACGCGGGTAGAGGTCGAAGATCATTTGTAATTCTGGGTTTTGGTCAAAATTAGAAGGTAGTGGAGGATGCCGTTTGGCAGTAAAGTGATGCTCACGTCCTTAGGCCTCAGTGAGCACCCAGCGTGCACCCCCTCGATGCGTTTGTCAGCACCTTTCTCTGTGCCAGGCACTGTGCTGTGCACCCAGTGGTGGGGCAGAAATCGTGTTCTGCCCTCTCTTCGTGTGTATCGGGTAGAGAGGTACACATTGAACAAGTGCTTACAAGCACAATAGACGTGGGAAGACGATCAGGAGGCTGTACATTGGGCGTTGGGGATGCCTAGTCTGGAGACTGGGAGGGGGTTCCCCGAGAAGCTGACCCTGAGCTATGATTCGAAGGTGAGTAGAGGAACTGGCTAACCAGGTGTGGCTGGGGCAGGAGTGGGACAAGAAGGAAAGCAGGAGAGGAAGGAGGGCAAGTGGCCTGGGGGGGGGAGTGGGGGAAGCAGCCTGTGATTAGGGCAGCTGTGGGCAAACTACGGCCCGCAGGCTGGATCCTGCCCGTTTGAAATGAATAAAACTAAAAAAAAAAAGACCGTACCCTTTTATGTAATGATGTTTACTTTGAATTTATATTAGTTCACACAAACACTCCATCCATGCTTTTGTTCTGGCCCTCCGGTCCAGTTTAAGAATGCATTGTGGCCCTTGAGTCAAAAAGTTTGCCTACCCCTGGATTAGGGGCTGGAGGAATGGGCTGCGGGCGGCCAGCCCAGGGCCCCACGGGCCAGGTGAAGGATTTGGATTCTGTCCTGGGAGCATTGGGAAGCCATCAAGGCTCTTAAGCAGATTTGCATTTTAATAAGATCTCCATTTGCTCTGAGGAGCATGAATTGGAGGGGAACAAGAATAAAGGAGGGGGACCCGCAAGGAGGCTACTGCAGAAACCTGGGCACAAGATCAGGTTGGCTTGGATTAGGGGAGAGTGCATCAGTGGAGAGGAGAAGTGAGGGCTTTGAGAGGCATCGCGTGCCACTCCTGTGAGTGATCCTGGGAAAGAATGGGCCCTACTGAGTGTCTGCACTGTCTCGGTCAGTTGGCATGATGACAGAGGGAGGCACTGGGCAACCAGGTTAATCCCACTTGGAGGATAAAGAAATAGGCTCAGTGGCATTAAAAATAGAAGTGGTGCCCTGGCCGGCATGGCTCAGGGATTAGAGCGTCGATTCCAGTCAAGGGCACATACCTGGGTTGCAGGTTCCCCGCCCTAGTTGGGGTGCATTGGGGAGGCAACCAATTGATGTGGCTCTCTCACATCAGTGCTTCTCTCTCTCTCCTTTCCCCCTCCCTTCTACTCTTTCTAAAATCCAGGGGGAGGAATATCCTCCAGTGAGGATTAACAAGAAAGAAAGAAAGAAAGAAAGAAAGAAAGAAAGAAAGAAAGAAAGAAAGAAAGAAAGAAAGAAAGAAAGAAAGAAAGAAAGAAAGGAAGGAAGGAAGGAAGAAAGAAAGAAAGAAGAAAGAAAGAAAGAAAGAAAGAAAGGAAAGAAAGAAAGGAAGGAAGGAAGGAAGGAAGGAAGGAAGGAAGGAAGGAAGGAAGGAAGAAAGAAAGAAAGAAAGAAAGAAAGAAAGAAAGAAAGAAAGAAAGAAAGAAAGAAAGAAAGAAAGAAGAAAAGTAAGTGGTAGGTAAGTTGGATAAGGAAGATGCATCCGGGATGTGCTCCTCACTCAAGTGTCCCGGGCCCCAGCCTGCGCCCCTGCCTCCAAAGCCCGTCTACTCACTGGTGTGCAGCCAGCTGGTGAAGGTCAGCGAGCAGTTCTGCACATCAAAGGGGAAGTTGTAGATGTCGAGGCTGCAGGCAGTCACCACCTGGAGGGGCTTGTAGTTCTGGACCTCGCCTTGATGTGCGACATACACGTACGGGATATCTGGAGACTTCCCCACGTCCACGCTGTCCAGGGGAGAGGGGTCAGCTTGGGGCTCAAGAAACAGGTCAAGCCCGGGAGTCTGAGGGTCTCTGAGCAGCCAGCAGGGAGAGAAACCCAGGAGGGGCTAGGGCAGCAGGACAGCGTTGTCTGGAATTGATTTTTCTAACCTTCCTATCTCTCTTAGGCCTCCTTACCTGCATCAACACTACTTTCCATGCATTCCTGAGGAAAGGCATTTTCCCTTTATTCCCCTGGCAACCTAACCACAAAAGGCAGGCAAGGATCCCTGGACCCCAAATGCCGCAGACGCTAAGGAGCATGCCCAGCTGTCCCCACACTGCCACCCACTGGCTGGGCAGAGCTCAGTTCCCAGGATGCCCGCCCGGTGGCAATGGGCAGGTTTGGTGGGTTCCATCCTGACTCGGGCTTCTCTTGGCTTCCTGTCGCTGGGAGCCCTGTGAAGTGAGAGGAAGCATCTCTGCAGGGAAAGGAACTAGAAACGCCATGAAGACGAAGGGGCACAGGGCAGAAAGTGACCACTGTGGCATGCAGAGGCCTGGGCCCGCGGCCCTGAGCCTGCAGGTTTCTGTGGAATCAGGCTGAGAGTTGAGAACTCAAGACTACCGCTGTTTCACCGATTAAACTGCAGATTCATCCAGAAACTGGAATTTCCCCGCGTCCCTCCAGCCTGAGCGATGCAGGGCACGAGGCTCCTGGTCGACTGCCTCTCATGAAAACCAGTGTGGGTGGCGCCCCTGGAGCCGGGCAATGCAGTGGGTCCTGGCAGAGGGTGACCGGCCCCTCCACTTCCTCCTCCCACCCGTCTCCCCAGCCAGAAGGTACCTGAGGGTGGGGAGAAGGAATGCTGGCCAAGGCCAGAGACTGGTTGTTGAAAACAAAGGCTATCCCTAACCGCTTTGCTCAGTGGATAGAGCATCAGCCTGCAGACTGAAAGGTCCCAGGTTCGATTCCAGTCAAGGGCATGTACCTTCGTTGTGGGCACATCCCCAGTGGGGGGTGTGCAGGAGGCAGCTGATCGATGATTTCTCTCTCATGAATGATTCTAACTTCTCTATCCCTCTCCCTTCCTCTCTGTAAAAAAAATCAATAAAATATATTTTTTTAAAAAAGAAAGAAAATAAAGGCTAGTGGGACCCACTTCAGACCAAGGGTGCAATCTGTGGCTGGTCAGGCACAGGTGTGACTTGAGAAATGTGAGTGTCTCCCAGCTTCAAGTCTCCCCTGTGGCCAGGAACAGTGGCCAGCACTTCATTCCTTCCAGTAATGTTACTGTCCCTTATAAATGCAGCCGTCCCTCATCCGACTGTTGTAACAATGTGAATTCACTCACTGGCTTCCTTTCCTCAGGAGGGGCCGTTGGATCAAGAAGTGCAGGGTTTCAACATTAAGCATAGAGGAGTTTTTAAAAAGAAAAGAAAAAGCAGGGAATTTGGGCCCAAGATAATTTTACCCACAGCTCTGCAAGTCTTGGGGGGGGGGGTGCGTGGGGGGTGCCCCTGCCTTCCCCAGCCCGCAGCTACCTGGCAGCCCAGCACCAGATGGCGGTACTCACAACTCGTTGATGAGAATGTCCGGGACCCAAATGCTGTCCGTGGGGATGGACAGCTTGGTGATGTTGTCGAAGTCCTCGGGGTTCCACTGGAGAAACTCGTCAGTCCAGTACTAGGGAAGGAGCAGGACCCGTGAGGGTGGGCGGGGTCGTGCCCAGCTCAGGCCAGCTCCACCTCTCAGGGTCCAGGAGAAAGGCAGGCATCTTCTTGGGGGAATGTGGGCATCAGTGGTACCCTAGTCACTCAGCAGCACCTGAGAGTCCCCCACCTTTGTGCCCACGCACTTCCTACATGCAAATAGGACACAGCCTCGCCCAGGGACGGCGTCAGGCATTGCTAACATTTTGAATCCCCTAGCCACCAGCGGAGGGATCTGAGACGACAGCTTCTTGGTCTCAGTCTGCACAAATGTGAGTGGGGATGATAGATGCACCTCCCAGGGCAGAGATGGTTACTGTTAGGTTTTGATCGATGCATCCTCCACTCTCCTGCCAGGATGACTGGCCTAACGGATATACATATTTTCACATTTCACATTCTATTTGAAGGCGTGGGGAAAAGATGGCGGGTGAGTGGGAGGGTCTGTGAGGTATGGAATAGTCAATAGCGGGTGCTATGCTTCGGAAGTTAATAGACTATGTTATCACTGAAAACTGTACGAAATAATGTAAACTAAATACAAGCATGACTAGATGAAAATAAGAATGTGCCTTTCAAATCACGAGGGAAAAAACAAAGAGAACATACATTGAAAAGGTTGTAAAACAGAATAGAATGGATAATCCCAATTTTACAGAAACATGAAATGTAAATTCTGTGATGTCGCTCGCCCGCTTAAAATTCTTCAGCAGCGTCTCATTGGCAATGAGATAAAGTTAAACCTGGAGGTCAGCAAAGGTCTACATAATCTGCCTCCACCTATCTTCCTAGTCTCAGGTTTTGTTGTTGTTGTTGTTGTTGGTTTGTTTGTGTTGGCCATGCCTCTCTGTGGAGTCTACACTCCAGCCACCTGGAATGATCACTGTTGGAACCTCCACATCTCTCTGAACCCTGCTCCTTCTCCCATACGACAATCTGTCTTCTTGATCAAGGTGAGTCTTACTCATCCTTCTAGACTTAACCAAGGCACCTGCCTATTCCATGCTCCAAGAACCTCTGGGATCCCCATCCCCTGGCGGGTTTCATGTGCCTCCTCTGTGCTTTCATGGCTGACATCTTGCCTGCTGTGTTGGTTGCATGGAATTGCCTGCTCACGTGTGTGTGGTCTGCACCAGCCTATGAGCTCGTTGTGGGCAGGGACTGAGTCTAGTTTGTGTCTCTAATTCCAGTCCCTTAGCACGTAGTAGACTGGCATGCCCTCACTGCTGGGGCAGACGAGTGACCCTAGAGGTGCAGAGGTGGGAGCTGGCCATGGTGTCCCAGGAGAGAGCTCCAGGAAGCCCACCGGGTCCCTTCCCTGAGGCAGCGTGTGTTCTGCACTTGGGGATCTTGCAGAGGCAGAAAGGGGGCAGTACCGCAGGAACCAGCATTTGGCTTCTTCCTCTACCCCGTTTCCTGTCCCATGAGCTGGCTGTGGTGGGGTGCTCACAGAGAGGGGGAGAGATTTAACAGAGACCCACGTTGCCAGGCGTGTCCCCGAAGTCTCTCAGGCTTGACCTCAACGAACTGTCCTCATGTCCCTGCCCCCTTCTCTTCAGCCATGTTGTTGGCTTCCCTTCTATGCTGACACCTTCTCCAGGTACCTGGGGCCCCGGGGCTACCGCTTAGGACACACGGTGGACAGCAGCCTCCTCTGTTTGCCTGCCCTCCCCCACCAGCTCCGAACCAGAACTGCTGCTGGGGCCTCAGAGACTCCACACGCCAGCGCCTGACCAATGCCCGCCGGAAGCTGGAAGAGATGGGCAATAGCCACAGGGTGAAGACTTTTAATCACCCAGTTTGGTTGTTGTTCAATTTGGCTTAATAGAAAGAAGGACTTGTGAGCCATTCAAGCTGTGTGAAGAGGGAAGGCTGCCCCCGAAGCTCCCAGTCACTGGAGGTGTTCGACCGAGAGGTGGGACACACACTTGCTGGGGGTTCATGGAGAACTTCAGGACCCAGAGCAGGTCCAGAGGACTTCCCCCACCGAGCTTTCCGTCCCCCTCCATCCCCAGCCCCGAGTGAGGGGAGTCCAGGCTTCTGCATCTCAGGTCCCTGATGCTCCAGGTGGCGAGTCCCTCCCCGGAAGGGTAAGTCCCAGGCCAGGAAATGAGGCAGCGGGAGAAGGGCTGGGCTGCTCACCTGCCGGTACCAGATGTAGGTGGTCAGGACCTGGTTCTTCTCGTCCTGGGAAAGGAAAGGGAGCTGGCACAGGTGGCCCTGTGGGTTGTGGGTCCACTCTGCACACATGAACCCCAGAAGGAGCTGCTGCTCTGTGTCCCTATTTCCTTGGGAAGTGGGGGTGAAGCCAAGGGGCAAGGAGAAGGGGCAGCAGGAAAAGTTGGTCTTTTACTAGGATACATCTAGAAAGAAATGCAGTGATTTACTCTTAAACTATATGTGCATGTAAGTATATATACCCTCTATTCTCTTCTATTATGTCATGCATATTATATATGTCTATTATGTTATCTATATTTTACAAATATGATATACATAACATAATAGAAGATAATACAAAGCATATTTAACAATATTGTGTATACAGTGGGGCCTTGACTTACGAGTTTAATTCGTTCTGAGACCGAGCTCGTTAAGGAGCTCATTAAAGAGCTCGTTAACTCAAACTACTCTATCAACTCAATGCAAAAAAATAGACTGAGAGACAGCTGGTATCTCAAAAAACTCGTTAGTCGGGACACTTGTAAGTCAAGGCCCCACTGTATCTCTATCTCTATCTCTATCTCTCTCTCTCTCTCTCTATCTCTATCTCTATCTCTATCTCTATCTCTATCTCTATCTCTATCTCTATCTATCTCTCCTATGCTAGAATGAAGTCAAGAGGTACAAAGCCACCCTAACCGGTTTGGCTCAGTGGATAGAGCGTCGGCCTGCGGACTCAAGGGTCCCAGGTTCGATTCCAGACAAGGGCATGTACCTTGGTTGCGGGCACATACCCAATAGGGAGTGTGCAGGAGGCAGCTGATCGATGTTTTTCTCTCATTGATGTTTCTAACTGTCTAACCCTCTCCTTTCCTCTCTGTAAAAAAAATAAATAAAATATATTTAAAAAAAAAAAAAAAAAGAGGTACAAAGCCACATAGAGTGAAAAATTCATCGCTCTCCCTCCCTCCTATCCAATCCCAATTTCCCTTCCGGAACAGCCGCATGGACTGTAGCGGAGACTGTGGTGTCAGTCCCGCCCACCCTAGCCCAGCACACTGCCCCCATTTCGGCATCTCCGCAGTCGCCTCCTGCTTATCTCTGCAGTGTCCAGCCTCCTGCGCTGGGCAGTGGACCCCACCTACTACTGTCACTAACGGAGGAATCAATTAATTGATTTGTGATGAACTCTTCAACAACCATTGAGTAACACCCACCGTGTGCCAGGGACCTGTGTGAGAAAGGGCATAGAGATGAATAGGACAACCTGAACCCTCACACAGCTCGCACAGGGAGATGGTACCACGACATGGTGAGTGGCCCGCTGGCTGCAGGAGAGTGGGAGGGATGGCTGCAAAGGTAGCCCCAGTTTCCTGGTTTGGGCAGCTCTGCACATGGGGGTGCTGCAGCCATTCTGAGCCGTGGTGCCGACCACAGGTACGATGGTACCTGAATGTCCACCATGTGCCCAGGGCCTCCCACCTCTGAGTTGGGGGCATCTTGGGGCTGAGCCCTCACCACGTTGAGGATGGCATAGACAATGACGTCGATGGACACGGTGGTTGGCCTCCTCCAGTCTCGCACAGGCCGCACGCCCTTCTTGTAGTTGGTCAGGAGGTGGTCCGACAGCCGCCGCAGAGCAGGCCCGGAGGTGTTCTGGGCCGGGAGGCCCCCCCTGCGCCTGGCTGGGAAGGAGAACAGTTCCAAGCGGACATCAAGCCAGAGCCACAGGGCCTCTCGCCCTGGTTTGAAGCTATGAAAAGGGAAGTGCCCTCACCAGTCCCCCCTCACAAAATTTCCAGGTGCCCCACCACGGAAATGTCCATTGTGTCCGCAGGCTCCTCCCCAACTCAAAGGTGCATCTCATATGGGCAACCTGCACACTCGCTTACGGGAGAGAGGGGGCCGGACTGGAAGAGAAGGTGACGTAAGGCAGGTGAGGTCTGAAGGAGGCCGAGGGCTCCGAGGAGGTCAGCCTGCAGGGCTCTGATCCAGGGGCTCCGGGGAAGTGAAGGGGAGCCGGCCCCGGGAGATGAGAGGGGTACAAAAAAGTGGCCCCCAGTGCACAGTTCCTCAGCCCAGAGGTCTGCGTGAGGGTTTGCCTCAGTTAAGGTCAGATGTCAGTGTCTGTACAGCCCCTCATCTCCTGGCCCCCAGCCTGCAACTGACAAAGGGAGAAGGGGGCATCCAGTGAAAACTGACATCTCCTCTCCCTCCTGCAAAGCCCACCCCAAGGCCGCCACCCCACCTGCCCGGGCGCACCAACTCCTGGGGGAGGTTGCCGGGTCCTCACAGGGTGCTATGTGGGCAATTTGTCAGGGTTAGGAAGAGGGTTGGGTGAGGTGTGGAGGGAGCGAGCAGCAGCAAATTGTTCCCAGAGCAGGAGGCCTGCAAGGACCAAATGGGGAGGAGCAATCCCCACTCCTAGGCCCGAGCCCCATCCTCTGGGATGTCATGTGTGCCTCAGGTGTCCTTCTGGGACAGCAGAAGCACTTCCTGAAAGGTGCCAAGAAACATGCAGGTGACAAACAGTGTGGGAGAGGGAGGGCCAGGGTGCAGACTGAAAGCCTCAGGGACCTGGCAGCGTGAGCGCAGGTCTCAGCAGGCCTGGCTCTGTGTGTGCAACCTGTACAACACATCGATCCTACAGATTCTCCTTCCTGCCCCTCCCCACCTGTCCCTGATACATACCCCGCTGCCCTCAGGGCAGACACGAGCAGAGAGAGGAGAGACAGGAGAGCAGGTAGGGAGTGTTGCCTTGGGCATAACATCCGTTAACATAGCACTGATTCAAACCCAGAGCCCTGTGTGTCTCCCTATAGCGGCAACAGCCCAGATCCTGTTGTCTGGGATTCGGGCCAGTTTGGAGAGCACCAGCCTGGGCCCCACGGGTCAGAGCAAAGGCTGTTTCTGGGAGGCAGAGGGCTCCCCAGCCCGGGCAGCCCGGACCAGTCATCCCCTGCAACCGGGCCTGCTCGTCCTGCTGAGCTTCCCCAGTGCCAGCTCTCGGGAGGAAACGCATCGTGTCCGGCCCCCGTCCACCCGAACGCACCCTGGCCCCAGCTTCAGCCCAGCTCTGGATGAGGAGAAAACAATCTAAGATGAATGAGTATTGTCTGCAGCAAGAGGGCACGATCCCTTTGTGATGAAAACACCCTGCATCCACTGGGGAGGCAGGAAAGGCAGGTGGGAGTGCAGAGCGGGGCTGGGTGTTGTTGGAGGTTAGCCCCGGAAGCAAACTTTAGGAAACAGAGACCTCAAGAGCCCATGCAACAAAGTCGGCGCTGCTGCCAACGAGCTGTGACCTGAGCACCTTATTCCCGTCTCTGGACCACAGCATCCCCACGGGAACAAAGGGGCCTTGCAGCTCACTCTCTCGGTGAGTTTAGGGCAAAGACCAGAGACCTCGCTCCTGCCCCGTCCACATGTGTCCCAGGCAGCAGGCTGCGCTGCACCCCCTCAGCAGCCCTGCCCTCACGGGGCTCAGCCTCGACCTCCCCGCTGGGCCCCAGTGCACGTTCAGAGTGAGAGCCTGACTTCCTGCAGCCTTACCCACTCCAAAACCCACCTTCCCTCAGCCCTGGCAGGAATCGGGCATCCCCTACCGCCCCTCGGGAGGCGGCCAGCCAGGTCCTCTGTGTTTCCCATTCCCCCCACCACCTTACCTTCTCCCTGAGTCAGGAGCACGGGCAGAAGCAGGGCGAGCAGCGCTGGTGGGGCCCACAGCAGCATGGCGAGCTTCCGCGGCGTGGGCGCCTCTGGGTGGCGGGCGTGCAGGGAGAGCCCCACCAAGGGCCAGCCTGTCTGCCCTCTGCCGGCCTCCTGTCCCAGCGCCTGCCTCTCCAGGCTGCTCCCGGCACTTCTGCGGCTGAGCCTCGCACTGCCCGCACCGCCGAGCCACCAGGCTGGGAAGCTGCCAAGTGTCCCTGCAATCAATCCTTCATTTGAATCAGGTTTCAGGGTGGGCGGGGAGGATGGAACCACTGAGAGGGGGGCCTGGCGAGCTGGGTCATTCAGCGGAGCTCAGTCCTTCTGTTCTGCCAGGTGCCCTGCTCAGTTCCCCAAGGACTGACTTGGGGTCCAGAGGCCGCGGGAGCCCCGGTCTGCTGGGAGGTGCTCCAGGCAGCTGCCTTCATGTATGTCCCACGGCAAGTATGTTTCCTATCATACAAAGTCAATATGCATAGTTAAAATACAATAGCAATACATCCTCACTGTGGGAAAAAGGAAGAAAAATGGAAGTCATCCATAGGCTTACTGACAGCTCAGGGACGGCCACCGAAGACTTAGGTGTATATTCTCTGTAATGTCCTTCTAGAATGTGTACACAATGAATAAGTGTACCATGCATGTGAATTTGTATCCTCCCCCCATTTTTTGCTTAATGTCATTTCACCTGCGGTCACAACACTTTTCCCTGAAATGTGGTTTTCTTGAAAGAAGTGCCTTTCTCTTTTTTGTAAGTTAAATGGGCACTTATCTATCCCCTTGACACCCAACTGGGTGCCACCAGGTTGTCTGGCAAAACCATGGCTATAGGTTTAATTGGAGGCATCCCACTCCCATCTTATCATGTGAATAGATGTGTGGATGTAGACTTTTCTTCTCCTTTTTAAAAATTTATTTATTTATTTTAAAATATGTTTTTTATTGATTTCTGAGAGAGGAAGGGAGAGGGAGAGGGAGATAGAAACATCAATGATGAGAGAGAATCACGCCCCCTACTGGAGATTGAGCCCGAAACCCGAGTATGTTCCCTGACCGGAATTGAACCGTGACCTCCTGGTTCACAGGTCGATGCTCAACCACGGAGCCACACCAGCCAGGCGGGCTATGTAGACTTTTCTATCTTGACTGTTTTCAAGGTGAGCTGCACCTGCATCAAAGTGCAGTCATGCAAGCTCCAACCTCAGAACATTTCATCCCGTTCCAGTTGAATTTAAGGGTAGAATAGGCTGAGAACACTGCAAGGAGAAAGAATTTTCTGAACTTTAGTTAAGTTAAAAAACTCCCACCTTGATCAGAAGTAAGTCCTTTCTGGTTCTGCCTGGGTCTTCCCTCTTATTCATGTACATGTGAAATCTACATGGTGCATTATACCCTCCCTCCATTGATGGGGTCCCTTCACGGGGCCACGAGCCAGGGGGTGGCCTGGGATGCTCACTCAAGCTCAAGGAGCCTGGGCTCCCCTTCTTTCGAGCCATGTGCTCTCTCACTGCACAATCTAGAAAAGCAAGGAAAATCAGCTCCAAGGATTCCCTTTGGGGGAATGGAGATGGGGAGAAGTGGTAGAAAAGTAGAAAATAGAGGGCCCCAAACTTCTAGAAAATTTAGAGCCATCCCCCCTCCTGTCCCCTGAAAGAATGTGCCCCGACTCCAGGCTTGGCCGCAGGATGGGCAGGACAGGAAGACCGGGCTGCCCTAGGCCGCCAGGCAGGCTCAAGCTGTGCAGAGGCTCAGAC